CTCCCCCACGCGCCATTTTCCATTGTCTTATGATTTATGTTCCCTGGTCGCGGTGTCAACAGGGTATTGATTAAAATACACACATAGCCGTGCCCGGTCCTGCATACAGATTTATGCACACACCGGACGGCCGGAGTGTGTGACATCCTCGTCCCTTGTAAATCGACCCCCTTCCCCCTCTCCCCATCCCCGACTTCACCTATGCTCCCAATATTCGCCCGGAGCGTTGATCGTGTTAATCGTGTAAAAAGCACCAGGCACGCTTCCAGGTCGAATCGTTTAACGAAGGACGAGCCTTATATGGGGGGGACCCTCGCGACCGAACGGCATCCCTTCGGGATGTGGACCTCTCGCCTTCTCTCTTGACTGAACGCACAAGACTGAGAATATCAGGGTCGTAAAGTTTATTTTCTTCCTCGTCGAGCGATGCGACCAGCCGTGGTATTCGCCGAATTATGCCACGCGAATTGAAGGAGAAGGTTCTTGTCGCTCTCTCGGCGGATGCAAATCGGTCCTGGCGCCGAGGATGGAATCTGGAGCGGAGAGAAGGCGGGGAAGAAAGCGGCGAAGATGTAAGGGGGTCGTATTTCGATTTCACGTCGGGCGCAATTTGCGTCCCGGTAAAATCACTTGCGTGAATCGCGCGTTCCCTTGATGTATAACTATCTGTTTAATTTTAATATTTAAAACAAGAGGGAGAGAGAGAGAGAGAATGAAATGAATATTTCATTGTATGAAATAAATATTTTTCTCAATATTGCGCTCTATCTATTATTATTAGGAAATATTGCAGGGTGTTTCAACGAATTCTCAGTAATTTTTTTCTCCTTCTCAAAAGATAGGTATACTAATTACTCTATGGCAATTAGAAAGCTGGAAATTTATTAACTACTTGTCTAGCAACATTGTTCCGCTTACTTAAATGCTCACGGGAAAGCATTGCTGTAAGTAATTTGCAGCGTTGGTTCGCGTTTTCTTCATTACTCTTACTCTCCGCTAAAATGTTCCCTCGTTATTCATACTCACGCACCGCTTCTTTTTGCTCCTTGTCATTCTTAATGGAAAGTATACTTATAATTCACGTATTACGATACAAATAATTTTTCATCAAGCGGATAAGAAAAATGGCTTTCGAGATATTGCTTCGTTAAAGACCCAGACAACATACGTCCCTGGAAGATGTCTAAAAAGCTATTTAAATATATCTTACCGACCTTTAAACGCGCGCCTTCAAGACGCCTTCTTTTGATCTTTTTGTTAGTCTGCAAAGTTACAATTTATACTACTGATCAAGAAGTATTGCATTACTTAAAGAAAGCCATTACTTTAATGAAAAAACATGTATAAATAGCATCAAATTATATTTTATTATTGTTATTTTATGTTTTAATATCAAAAATTTTTTAAATTAAAAATGATAACAAATAATAACAGAAATATTACATATTTGATTAATCAAAATAGTCTCTCTTTACTTGCAATATTCTTGACATTCTTGACAGGTTTTTTAAAATTATTATAAATTATTATTGATATTTGAATCTGTTTTTGTAAATATACCTGCATTTGCTGAGGTAGGTATGATGAGAAACGAAGTAGATAATACACCTATATAATATATATTGTTGATATTGTTACGCCCGCGGCGAGGACTTCGATTATTATCGAAGACGCGCGGAGAGATCGGCCGCTCGCGAGTCGCGCGAAATGGATAGACACTTTTACAAGGAACTCGGAACTCTTTAATGCACAACACAGAACACTACAACGTAATCACAGAACGCTTTAACACAATATTCGTAATTCGGCTCGGCACGATACACAAACACGTCCGCGCAGCTTGACAGCTGGAACCGAACTCAGGTGACAGGCGCTCCTGTCAACGACCTCTTGACAACGCGCTTGTTTTCGTTAATCGGCGCCGTCCCGATGAAGGGAAGGGGATCAGGGCCGTAACAATATATACATAAAAATCGTTTATAATTAACGTGATTGTATCAAAAAGCATTCATAACATTGTAAACAGTATTATAATAATTGTACATTAATTAATTTTAAGAATAAAAGATAATATACGCTTTTCATATTTTATTTAAAACAGGGAAAGAACTTAGTTTTCTGTATTTTTTGGAGCTGCAATATTTTTGACAAGTATACAATAAATTTAAAAAAATGCTTCAGCTACAAACACATATATTGATATAATATATATTTCATTTTTTTCAGATTTAAAGATTACGTTCCTGTCATTAACTGTGGCTCCAGGAGAGCTATATCCAACTTATTCAATCGAATACAAATCTCACACAGCGTTCTTATATAAATGCGAATTTGAAGAAAAAAAAACAATGCATTCTACTTTATTTCTCGACGACGTAGACGCAAACATCGAAGACGCATTCGCCGGCGCGAATACTCGTCGGTTGACGAAGTGACTCTTTATCTTAAGAGAGTCATTTTGCCCCCTTCGCCTTTTCCTCTCCGTAGGAGGTTTTTCTCTCGACTCGGCGACTCGAGTGCCATTCACCGTCGTCTCCGTCGCCCCTTAAGCTTCACTCGGATATCGCCGGCAGAAAACCGACACACTCTTCTCTTTCTCTTTCTCTTCCCACACCGACATTTTATTTATTATCCGCAGTTAACTCCAGCGGACCGCAGTATCCGGCCAAGCTTTCCGCTCGAAGCCCGAGCATCCGATGCGTGAAGCGCGTATCTCCTCCCTCATTGCATTCTTCAAAGAGACTGGTCTTTTGAGGGGGCCTCACTAATAATTGCAGCTTCATCTCTCAGGACTTCCAGTCGGGTGAGCCGAGAATTTCGGTTACCGCCGATACTTAGACACTTTTAGCCCGAGGAAACCTTCTGCGTTTGACCCCTTTAAATGTCTTTGACCCGAGCAAGTTTTATGGAGGATCTTCGCGATCGGTCGTATCGGCATTTACGATCAGGCGGTATATCGGCGTTTAAAAAAAACCTTTAAAAATTTCGTAAAAATGGCAAGATTAAGATGTAAAGGAAAATCCATTAGAAAATATCCATCCTTTAGAAAATATCCATGCCTGAAAAATGCGAGGCTTCTTAAATCTATCTTCGCCAAGTGTTTCGGAGATGAAAATATTTCTTTCGGAAAATCTGCCCGCGCGAATCTGTACGAGACAATCGGGTTATCTATGACAATCTCTCATTATTTTTTCCAAATTTCCTCTTTCAAGTGACGTCATATACGTATTTATCAGATTGCCCGTTAATGCAGTGAAAGAGCCGAGACGATTTCATATTTAGGCGGCACTGCAGAAAATTAGTATCGAGCTCTTGCATTTGGAGTTCATTCAGGATTTACATTCCGATGACACAATACGACGTAGTTACATCGTCCAGCGTAAAAACGCTGTAAAAAGCATCAACGCGAGAGCGATCACGAATGGATAATTATTACACGTCGCTTGATTCGTCTGGCCGTCAATGACATACCAGCTGTATTCACTGCCGTTCAAAAGAGGCAGGATGTCGATGTCATTTTACAAAACGCGCTGAATACGAAATTTTATTCAAAATCGAGCATCTCGAATGTCTTAGATATCCTTCGTATTTTCTGTCAATTTCATAGCATCTTACAAATTCATCATTGTTTGATAATGAAGCGATATTTGCACACAATTTACATTTAAAAAAAATTTTATAAATTAAGTAATATATAAATTAATTTAAAATTAATCATATATAAATTAATTAGTTAAAATTATTCATTTAATTTGGGTGATAAAAACAAATTTTATTTTTATTTAAACTGGATAATAAAAAGACACGATTTAGACATGATATATATCGAGATAAAACTGATTAAAATTTGGAATATTTAATTATTTCAAGTTATAGCACATGTAAAGAAAAGTTATATCAAAAGATATATCAAGTCAAATGAATCCAAAGCCCTTCAAAAAAGCGATGTTATTGTGGAATCTCCCGAAATTCCATTTTAAATATTCTTCGTATTTTCTGTCAATTTCAAAACATCTCACAAATTCATAATTGTTTGATAATAAAGCGATATTTATATATTTTTGTATGTAATTTATATTTAATTAATTATAAAATTATTTATTTAATCTGGAAGTAATGAAATAGTAAAAAGACACGATTTATGTAATTCAGATCGGGATATGAATCTGGAATATTTAATATTAATGATGGTGCAGAAAGAAGAGTACCAAAAGATACCAAGTCAAATGAATAGCTCTCAAAATAGCGAGTGATATTATTATAAAATCCGATTATTGATTTAATCTGGAACTAATGAAATGTAATGTAAAAAGATACGATTTATATGACATTATTTTATTAAAATCTAAAATATTTAATAATAAAAAATAGTGCACTTACAAAAAGAGAGAAAGGATTAAAAGATACCCTCAAAAAAAGCGAACGATGTTATCGTGCAATTCGATAAAACTCCATCTTAGAAATATCCTTCGTATTTTCTATCAATTTCAGATCCTACAAATTCACAATTGCTTTTGATAATAGATATTTACCCACAATTTACACTTTTGTATAGCAATTATATTTAATTATTTGTAAAATTATTAATTTTACAATTAAATTAAATTGAAGTAACGAAATGTAAAAAGGCACGATTAATTGATAAATCAGGATAAAACTAATTCGAGCCTGGAATATTTAATATAAATTAAGGTTAGCGTAGAGAGAAGAGAGGGAAAAGGAGATTACCAAAAGACACCAAGTCAAACGGATACCCTTAAAAAAAAAAGGCGAGCAATGTTATCACGGAATCCGATGGAGCTCCGTTTTCGCCATCACGCTGTTGAAGAAAAAGTTATCACGTCGTCGGGCGAGATACAACCGAGCGTGATATTACGCAATAGAGAGCCGAAAGGACGGTGGAATTTCCAGGTTGATTTAGGAAAGCAGCGGAAGAGGAGCATTTCACGCTTCCCTTGACGACGAGAAGCACACACACGACTCATAGTGATAGTACTCACCCCGATGTATGACCTTGCTGAACACACTGGTGATGATCTGCAGCTCAGGATTTAACGTATCGCCGAGCTGAAACAGAAAACAGCTTTCTTTGTGTATCCGGCTAAACGACAGTGACATCTCACTACCACACGTCCGCTATTCGCGTCGACAATGTGTCCCTCGCCTCTCCCTCCGTCCCTTACTATGTCGCATCATTCTCGTCGCCTTGATACGTTTTCCATCGATTTCCCATGAAAAGGGGTTGTTCGGTCGCTGCTAAGTGCACCGTATAAAGAGGTGAAGGTAAAGAGTCGTTTCTCGAAAGTTCTACATTGGGCGTGCCATTAAAGGTAACCATAAAACCCAACTAAACCGACCGCGGACTTTAAAGTAACGATAAATAATAAAAGTTGATCCGGCCACGGATCTGCCGTCGATCAAAAGTTTCGCCGTTTCCCATCCTCGCGGCGCAAAATTATCGCCGGCTCTCCGTCTCTCCGTTCCGTAAATAAAGAGTAAACAAGGGGATATAATGATGGACGAAAAAAAAAGAAGAAAAAAACGAAAAAAAGGAAACGAAATACGAGATCGCGAATGAACGTGCGCGACGCAGATATCCCGTGGATATTCTTCGCTATCCAGATTTATGGGTGGTCGTTAATTAAAACTGTCAATGTTTACGTCACAGGGGAGAAAAATATCGTATATAAATCATAAAATACATTTTAAAATGCATTACATTATATTTTTATTATAATCCTCGATTATCTTCTCGTTTGGAGAAACTGGGCCGATTTTGCGATAAATGTGTTAGCATTAAAATTTGAAAATATCACGTAGTGCGATTGAAATGCTTCAAGAGAGAATTAACGTAAAGTGTGCTCGCGAAACCGGATGTAACGTATTTTCAATGTATTTTTCCGACTTTTATAGATTTTATATATATTTCATCATTTTATAGGATACTGCGATTATCAATCAAAACGTATGACACTTGCAAAATTATCCGAGCGTCTGCTGGGAAAAGAGAGGAGCGGCGGCCATTTTATTTTTCAATCCAGATATACTTGAGAATTACACGGGACGTAATAAAGATTCTCAGTCTGTGCGAGAGACGGGCAAGCGAACGTCGACGGTTTAATCTCCGTTTAAATTTGTTGTAATAAAGGGACCCTAATCTTAATTATGAGCTAAGAGAATTAATCTCAATGAGACGGCCGTCCTTAAACGTTCTTAATCTTGTCACTCTCTGGAATAAAGTTAGCTGGGAAGATTCGCGGTAATCGTTTCCTAATATTCATCTAATTGAAAGGAAATATTTTTGCTATTGACGCACGAGAAAGAAATTCGAAAGCGCACTGACATGTTTTCCGAAAATCCCTACAAACTGAAAAAGCATACAGATATAACAAATTTAATTTATTAAAAATATGAGCACATCTTTTTTCTCTCGATATTGAAAATTAATTTGATGCATATTATTTCTCCGTAATTATTTTTTTTTTTATTTATAAATTAAATCGTAGTCTTTTTAATTATATTTTAATTATATTTTATATATTATGCACGTGATCCTATTAATTTAATGTATGCTCTCTCCCATTTTTATTTTCCTTTATAAATTGGTCGTACTTTTTTTTTAATTATACCCGCACATTATTTTTTATTTAATCCGCTTTTTACTTAACGCGGTCCAATATTCGTTTTCATATAAATGCTGCAAAATCAGCTGCGTTAAATCGCGACGTCGTTCGGGCCAAAGTCTACCTAGTTAAATCCGGTCTGCAATTGCGGGTTACGCCGTCAGCATGTTGCTACTTGTTTGGCAAATCAAGTGTACACTAATTTGTAATTGTAGCTTCGTAATTTCCGCGGTAGTCGAGCAATAAACAAGCTGCAACGACGACGCCCCCGTCCTGAGATTGTATCGATCGCCCGTCCTTCTAGCCTCCCTCGTAGCTGTGCTATAGTGATCACAGATAAAGGATATTGCACCAAACCGGTGCAGGGAATAGCCGATGCACGACTTCGCGTCATATTATGCAGTCCACCCGACAGACGTGCAGAATTAGCAGCCCCGACTCCCTCTCTCTCTCCCTCTCTCTCTCTCTCTCTCTCTCTCTCTCTCTCTGTTTCCCTCTGGCGACGACATGGAATCCTTCATGTCGACCGAATTTCTCCTTCCGTTTGATAGCGCGTAATTCTCGTCTTTTGTCATTGGATGAGGACGGCACCGACTGACAGTCGTGCCAAATTGACGCATGGCGTAATTACGGATCGGTAATTTCCTCGCAGCACGTAAGTGATAAACAAGCGATTGTGCTAATCATCACTTGACTGTATCGATAAGAGAGATATTTGTCTAGTAAACGCGATATCTCTATCTCGTCCTATTACAATCGATCAATTTTACGTTAAGCCTTTCGCTTTCGAGATTACCCGCGTACTTTACATGCAAATTTCGCTCTCTTAATACAACAAACGCGTGTTCCCGCGTAATTTAGCTCTCCATGTGAATCGCAAGTATAAATTCGCTGGAAATAAAGTCGCTGGAATCGCGTGTGGCGAGTAAACTTTTTTTCCGCACTCCGTTCGAGCACCGAGTTCCGAAACTTTTTTTCCCCTCCAACAGCTTCCCAGCATCATGTGTTTATACTTCATAGATTTTAGGTTCTGGGTCGTATTTTTCCAAGAAACTTTCGATTCCGTTTAATCACTGTAGTTCGTGTAAGTTTCCCTCGCTGACCTTTTGACATTCCATGAAACAATTGCGGTTGCAGCACGCGCCATTTGTACGTCGCAAGGTCAGAAATAAGTAGCGCACAATTACGTCGATTATCGTCTAATTGTATGAATTATGAAAATTGTACGAATTATAAAAATTGCAACAATAAGCGTCTTAATTACACTGCGTCTATATCGCGTCTATAACAAGCTAGTCGCGTTAAAAAAAAAATTGAAGCTTATATAAAATACAATTTTATCGTGTTGCAAAGTCTCCTTTATCAATCACCGCGTTATATTGACGCTAGAAATCTATTTCGCGCCAAAGTTTTCACTATTATATCGCGTTAAAACCAAATACGTCTAGAGCCGAGATCGTAGAAGTACCCGACGTTATCACTGGGGTACCGACTCATTTGGATCTCATCCCTCAGACACCCCAGGGTATAATCCGTTTGAATTACAGTCGTCAACCCCGTTGCCTCCAGACACGCCTTTACGATCTATTCGTCGGGAGATCGAGCACCTGTTAAAGGTTTCCAGAAAGGATGATGCCGTAGTGTACGCTTTGGGATTATTCAAAAGGCTGACCTTTCTCGGACGCGTATTTATCCGAATTATACTTTGGCCTCATTGAAATTTCGGAGAATTTGCAGCGAAAATTACTTCGCGGTCATCTAAAATATTTCCTATTTATGCACGCAGACTTTAATTTATGACATTCCAAACTTTTCCTCATTCATCACGAATAAAATGCAGAGCTCTCCCTCTGCGCGTTGAGATATTTAGTTTAAAATTAAATATCACAATTATATATAACTGCGCAAAAAATTATGCGATAAAATATAGAGTAAAACCATAGTAAAACCATGTAATATATTAATTACGTATTAATTACGCTCCAGGCAAGAAAATGCACCAGGCATAATGAGCTTATCAATAAATGTTATTAAAACGAGAGTCAAGATAATCAACCAGGAAACCGCAAAATGCAATTTTACATTAGAAAAATTACAAAATAATTTTTAAGAAAAAAATATTGTAAAATTTGTTGATAAATTTGTAATCATTTTTGATTCTATTATATAAAATAATATATAACAATAATATTGATATATATTACATTAATATATATTATAATATATATTAATATTTAAAATATTGACGAAAAATTATTGACAAAAATATATTATACAAAAAATTGTCAAATTGTGTTCTCACTTATTTCTCTCTCCAAAGATATAATTTATAAAATATAACCGTAACATATACAAATACTTTTTCTTCAATATGTATGATATGATTCGATATACTTCTTTAAAAATGCAAAAATGCCTCTTATAAAATTAATATGGCCAACATTTTGTTATTATTTTCTCTGACAGACAATAAATAAAACGTATTAAGGGAAAACTATTAGGATGGAATAGAGAGAAGAAGCAAAGGTCAAGGCATTACAAATGGATATCAATATCTTTTTTAGAAGAAATAAAGAAAGCTGCAATTCTTGAATATTCGTAAATATTCAATTAATATTTCTATTAAGTTAAAATATTTTTATGTTTCGTCGTATTTTATAATTAAAAAAAATTATTTTGTAAAATATAGTTACTTGAGGCATTATCGATATTCGAGGAAAAACATTCTTTTTATGATTCGATATACTTCTTTAAAAATGCAAAAATACCTCTTATAAAAGTAATATGGCCAACATTTTGTTATTATTTTCTCTGACAGACAATAAATAAAACGTATTAAGGGAAAACTATTAGGATGGAGGAATAGAGAGAAGAGGCAAAGGTCAAGGCATTACAAATGGATATCAATCCATCAATATCTCTTTTTTAGAAGAAATAAAGAAAGCTGCAATTCTTGTAAATATTCAATTAATATTTCTATTAAATTAAAATATAAATTTTTATGTTTCGTCGTATTTTATAATTAAAAAAAGTTATTTTGTGAAATATGGTTACTTGAGACATTATCGATATTCGAGGAAAAACATTCTTTTCGGTATTTTAAAAAAATTAATCTCATAATTAGAATACTTCAATTAATAAAAAATGGGTGCATTTATCGTAAATATTAGTAAATATTTGTGGATTTCAACTACCAATAAAATCTGCTCATCAAGTGTATTTTATATTGATTTCACTGAAGGAAATGTAGGGCATTACACCGTTTTATTGCGTTCGAAATAAATTCCATTGAAAAAAAATTAATTCGAGATCGAAGCTACTAAAAAGATCCTCGCGCGTATCTCCGAAGCTGCATTGAATATTTATAACTTATCTGTCATATTAATCAGTAGACGAGTTGCGTCTAGCAACGAGAGCTAATGTAATGGCGCACGTAGCGACGCGGCTGTAAACTCCAGTGGAAAAAGTGCTATTATGTTCGGCATTATCGCGTCGACGAACTCTCATTTCATCGTCTCGCAGCCATCACCGTTGCTTTAGAGCGCGCGCTCGTAAACATCCTCTTAAAAATATTCAAAAGTTGCCGTCGTTTGTCGAGTCAAAGTGCGTCGTTACGTCCTATAGTCGTTATGATGCATATAGGCACTCCTGCTCTCTCTCTTTCATCGTCGAAGACATTTTGCCGCCGCGGTTTTCGAAGGCTAAGTTGCAAAAAGGAAGACGGACGGAAAAGACCGCTCTCTGAAAAGAGGGTGCGAGCGAGCGTCGCTCGAGAAACAGAAGGTCGTTGTGAAAGTTTCCAAGTTATTCCGAAGGTAAATACACAGTCGGGTCGGGCAGTAGTTATTGCATGTTTTATATTCGCGCCCTTCTCCTCGAAAAGGAAGGAGAGAGAGAGAGAGGCGAAATTACGTGACGATAATCTCTTTCATTTTAAATTGTGATATTTTAAATTGCGAAAAATATTCCACTTCCCCTCGACGAAAAATGTGGAAATAAGTTTGGCTCGCGTTTTCCTATTTCTTCGAAAATAATACGGTTAAAAATTGTTTAGCCTCATGGCTCTTACGAACGAAACGCATATGTATGTATTTAATAAACACATAAATACACATAATTCTGCATCTAAGTTTGCTCTTCAAAATAAAATTTCATATAAATCAAAACATTAAAAACGTATTTATCTTTTAAAAATGTTTTATTTTTCCGAAAAAGAAAAATTCCTCCTTTGCAGATCAATTTACTTTTAATTTCCAATTTTCTCGTATCGTGCACAAATTTATTTAGAAAAAACGTTAACATTAGATCAACATGAAAGAATATATTACGTATTATTAATTTTATTATATTGATATTTGCATATCATTTATTACCAGACGTTTCTCTCTTCCTTTCCCTCTCTTTAAAAATGAGATTCTTTTGCCAGAGAATTTTAATGGAGAAATTTATGGAAAGAAAAATTAATATGACAATGTTTTCCCATTGAGGGATATAAATTTGGTGCAAACGATCTACAAGAAGCTGGGAACAGTTATCCATGAGCGTTGAAGCAAGATAATTGTTTCACGGTAATAATTTTGCTACTCGAAGAGAGGAAAATACTGATAAAATGCGTTATTTTCTGTATATTAAAATCGCATCGCTTTGATCGACACAATCCGATTTATTCTTCATACATACATTTCGCGCAACCGATACTGTTGCGATGCGAAAAAACATATAATGGCAAATCCAGTTATTGTAAGATGTATAATGTATAGCATGTTGCGTAATATAATACATCCGCAAATAACGCAAATGTAATTTGAAAATTGTATTACAGATATTACCTATTTGTGTATGAGTCGCATCCAAATCAAATTTCATTATTATTAACACATTGTTACGTTTGTAAAGTCTCTGAGAAAAAAAAAGACAAAAAAATTTTACTTTATAATTTATTATTATGATTTATGTAATTCACGTAACAAGTAAAAATTTGTAATATTAATTTATAATATTTAAAACGGTGCAATTATTTACGAGAATGAGATATATTAATTTAAATTATATCAATGTATACAATTGATAAACTTGTCGATTTATCGAGATTCATCGTGCTCTCATCCAACTGACAAGCGTGTAAACATCATGATTGTCTACTTTAGAGGATAAACCGTCAACAGAACGATTCGATGTTTGTATCGAGAAGAACAAGAAGGAATAAATCGACAAGAGTAAGAAAGAGAGATGTACGTATACGAGGGATAGAAGGATCGCGACGCAGATTTAACCGGCATGCGGAGCCAGAAGGTTCCTCTCAAAACTTTGGAATTTATTCCTGTGTTAAGCTCGCGTCTTGGGAAAGTTACCGCGTGTTTGTTCTCGCAGTTCTTCGACTGAAATAATTATGCCATAATAATGATATTGTTGGTTGGAAATGTAAGAGCTGCCAAGGCATGTTGTTTGAAAAAAATAACGGATAATGTTCGCTATTGTCGAGGTATATATAATTAATGCCTATTTAACAAACTTTACCGTTTTACACTTTACCGTACTTTGAAAGCAACATTTTATACGAGTTTCTTTACCAACATTTTTTTTTATCGGAAACCTTTATCTCTCTCTCTTTCTTACACGTATACGCATCTTTCAGCGCGTATTATTTTCGAACAAATATTTTCAGATTCTGTTAAATTATCATAATTTATCAAGTCCTATTAAATTAATTTTCATTATTTTTCCTAGGAATTTTCGAAAACCTAAATTGCCTCTTATTATTTTCAAAAAATTTTGATTAGATCATATTAAATTATTACAATTTATTCTTAGATCATATTAAATTATCTTTTATAACATTTTATTTTAGACCCTATTAAGTTATCTTTTATTTTCGAGAAAAAAGTGTGGACAATTATTGCTTAAATTAAATTTTTTCCAATTCGAGATTGGACTTTATTTTTAGCTTAAGATAAAATTTATGATGCGTAAATTACGAATATGCAAGTTTTCAAATGAACCGAGTTACTGTTCCAGAGAAAATGGTTGGTATTTTTTATAAGAGTAAAAATTAAAATTTTTATGAAGGTGAAAATTAAACGATACAATTTTAAACTAAAAATGAAGTTTAGTCGCAAGGAAAAAATTTAGTAACAAGTTTGTGGGCATTTGTTTGTTCTCTCTTCGAGAAATTACCTTTTATTATTTTAGAGAAAATTTTACCAGATCCTATTATATAAATTATCAAGACTTATCAGCCATTAAATTACGCTAATTATCATCATTAAATTATCTTTTATTATTTTCAAGAAAATTTTCGAAAAATTCTCTTCTATTATTTTCGGGTAATTATCTTTTACTATTTTCGACATAATTTTACCTAATCCTATTAAATTGACAGAATTTATTTGATCTCATTATCTTTCATTATCGAGAAAATTGTATTAGATATCCTATTAAATTGTCTTTTTAATATATTCGCGTGAGTGCAGTTCCGGCAAAGATTCCCGCGAAAGAGTTAAACTCGAAGGAATTTGTATATCCAAATATACTCATTTATTTCATGGTGAGACAAGCGTTATTAGCGCGGCTGGCTAGCATCTGTCACGCGCTAACTACCCTAATCTCTGCTACGCCGAATGCATTTGTAAAGGGGGAGCTAAGTGCGGTCCAAAGTCGAAAGTTAGTATCACGATATGCCCTGTTAGGAACGGGTTTTGCTATAACACGTTGGCTTGACACGAGTCGAGGGATGGGAAACGACGGAGGTGTTAACTGCCGACATAATTATTAATTTGCATTTAAAAGCATCATCGAATCATCGACACGAATCGTGTAAACGAGACATTTTTTCCCCCCCTTACTTGCTTTCTCTTATGCACGATATCTTATCTCTACGGTATTGATTATACGACGGAGTTAAGATCCGCGCGATCTAATTACGCCTTTATTAATGGTGCGCAAAATTAAGTGGCTGTAATTTATAGCGCGGGAAGCTGTCGCGGATTAAAACAATTTGAAAAATGGACGAAAACTTTGGTGTCGAGAGCTCGATGAAAAATTCACTCACCTGGACCATTAACGAGATCGCCACCAGCCCCTGACTCTTATGCTGCGCCTCGCTCATATTGTGATACAGCTCGGCGTTAAAGCCATAGACTTGTATCTGCAACAGAAAACCACAAAGAAATTACTTCTTGGCGGAGCATAACCGTGTATCCCGCAATGCGATCACGCCGACAAATTTCGTTCTCGCACGAACAAATTCTCGAGTTTAGAGTTTAGATTCTGGAGCATTTCGTGCCCGACGATGCCTCGTATTACGCCCCCGCATCGTTGTCTCTCTCTCTCTCTCTCTCTCTCTCTCTTCTTCATCTCGTTGCTCCTTGCCTCTATCTATTTTCGAGATCGAGTCGCTACAATCACGTCTCTCGCAGACAGTTGCTGGCTCTATGTCGCTTAATTAAACGTCACGTACGATATATTAAATGTGGAGCAATTTTTTATAATACTGTATTTAATTTAAGAGTGTCTATTTAATGAAAGAAAAATCTCTTAATGATTTAGATATTAATTAACTAATTAAATTTTTTTAGAAAATTCACATACATATGAGAGACTTTACGTTACGTAAAATTAAAATTCATATTTTATTATTTATACTCTTTTAATCGGCCACTCTTAGATTCACATGGCATGTTCGATGATATTAAAATTTGAAATCGATGAAAAATTCCAGAATATATTTCATGCGATGTTCGCGAGATACTCGAGGCTTCATCTTGTATGCTTCAAATAAATATTCCACAAATATTTTCATCGGACACATACCTATTAAATCACATTCTTATGCGAGTATATAAACTTCAGAGGGCACCAAGATTCTTAAGCGCATACCATATCGTGGATGCACTTTTCCTTTGGCATTTTTGTGCGCCTTTTCTCATGTTAGAATCTTCGTGTTTTGGTAAATAAAAATATTCCTCCATGCCGTATACAAGTGTGCGCGCGCGCGTGTATTTTTTCTTTTCCTGCAGAAATATTAAAATATTTTCGAAAATAAGATTTTCTTCGATATCTGATCGCATCTCGTTTTTCAGATGTTTCCTTACTTTCATTATAAAAGTCGAATAAAGCTATTTATTATGCCACAAATATCTAAGTATTTCCCTGCAATTGTCATGTTGATAAGAATTAATGACAAATACGCGCTGTAATTCTTTCAGAACCTACAACGATGTCTAGATAGTATATATTCAGGTAAGTCGCAAGACGGATCTGTCATCGGCGTTCAGTTTATAGAGAAACGGAAACCAAGTCGCTCGTGAAATGTATCTTGTTTTTGGGACATACATCTCGTTTCGTGTCTTATTCCCCGCGAATGTCACCCGCTATAAGTTCCGTATGCTGGATAAAGCGCGGAAAAGACGCGACGTGTACGTGTCTTCTGCGCGAGGAAAAGGATTTTGCCGCGATCGCTTTCCTTTGATCGTATTCTTCCTCCTTTCCCCTCCTCTCCCTTGTATCTTCCCCATCTTGTCCCTCCTCGTCGTAACTGTACATCTGCTTCTTTCTACTAGATAATAGCATTGCCACGGCACTTCCGGTTATGCCTAGGGGTATCTGAAATGCCCGCGATGTGACGAGTTCTTCTTCAAAGACGGCGGATATGCCGCTAGAAGAGGGCAAGGATATAAAATACGGGGGGGAGAGAGAAAGAGAGGGATGCGAGATACACGGGAATAGAGAAAAAGAGGTGGCGTTGACTGAGGAGAGAAGAGGAAGGAATTGCCGGGAGTGAGTGTAAATCCACTGCGTCTGATCAAAGTACGACTCGTACTACTAGGAATAGGAAAGATTCTCTCTTTCTTTTCATTTTCGTGAAATTCCCTCCCCTCCCCCCCCCCTTTTCCTCCTCTCGCAGCACGTCCCTTCATCTCTTCTCTGCCTTTTAGCGAGATATTTTTCTGTCGGTGGCGTTTGGCTCGTCGAAGTAGAGGACCCGCCCGTCGTCACGTGGAACATCGAAAAATCTTGCACCTTCTCAAACGCGATTCTATTTCAATCGGGCCGAGTCGCGACAGACGGTTTATTGACGTAATATTGACAGGGCGGGAATCAAATTATATGACCATATTTTAATGCACTTTGTTGAAATTTAAAGGAGAAATAAAATTAATAGGATTAATAAAATAAAATTAATAAAATTAAAGAAATATGGATTAATTTCGTGTTTGCTTCGTGTCATAAAACGAACAATTAAGAATGTCAATCGTGCATTTAATTTACAAATGTATATTCATATTTATAGACATCGTAATAACATTATTCATAAATGTTTGAATCTATTGTCTTCTACGAAAATAATTTATAATATTGGTAAAAGATATTAATATAATAATAAATATATTAATTAATAATAATAATAAATTAATTAAAATCAATTAATAATAAGTAATAAAATTAATAATAATAAGTTAATATTAATAAATATATTAAATAATAATGAAAAATATTAATATTTTTATTGAAATACATTTTTCATTCAGGTAATATTCTTACTTTTATATATTTAAGTTAAACGCATAATTCGCATCTCGATTTGCTATATTTTTCCCTGTTATCTCGCAATTTTTATTTTTAGGATAAAAAGTAAAACACGACAACGTGAAACCGAGAGCAAAGTTTGTGCTCGACGTAACTTTCTTCAACGAGTTTAAGAAAGAAAAAATTAAGTGAATCAGCAAAACGACTTATTTCGACGTTTGATTGACAGTTTTTACATGCGAACTGAAAGTTTCAATATTTATCGCAGGCAAACAGAAGCGCAAGTTAGGTACGAAAACAACAGCGTCTGCGGAGAGTTCAGAAAGCATTCATTTAAACTTCATGAAATTTAATGCATGAATATATTTCAGGACTATCTACCTACAACTGGCTTTAAGGAATACATGTATGCGTGCATAACCACAACTTTTGCCAATATATCTGAAAAGACGTAGCATTATCATATATAAGCGTTTTAATATGTTATTTTTAAACACATTCATTTGTTACTAAAAGTTTTACAAAACTTGAAACCATCTTGTTAAGATATATAAAGTCGACATTTCTTCCTTTCTTTCCTTTAAAGATAATAAATTCAAAATCTCGCAATTACGTCTGGCGACAGTCGCATAATTTACTTGATCTCTCATCAAAGTAAATGCTCGAGTGCTCTTTTAATATATCTATATTTAATTTTGTATAAATAGGACTTTCTCTCGACTTTTTTTTTCTTCACAGATTCACATTTTCTTGTATAGTCAATCAATACGACTGAAGGGAGAAATACGTTCTTAACAAGTATTCAACAAATCAGCTTCCAGCATGCTTGTTATAATGTTACTGATGCAAATTCGCAAGTTTACCCTCTTGAGTATTATAAAGTGGGCCATAATAAAAATATTTTCCATTTTAAGCTTCTTTCCCACTGTCCAGCAAATGAAATGTTCTATATAACAATATAAAATGCGGTTAACATTTCGGTTTCGCTTTAATTAACAAATTTTACGCGAGCTGAATAGTTTTGTATATTCTAATAAGACTAAATAATGTTTTAAATTCTTTATAAAGTGTATATATAAATTTGTAGCATAAATTGCATCATAAAATATAAATGAAATTTTTATTCAAAAACTACTCTTTTTGATTGGATTGCATGAAATATCAAGACTTCTCTCAAATCATTTTGTCTCAAAATTCGAAACAAGATCAAGACAAGATGTTTAATTGGATATTAAGATGAAAATTAAAATTGCTACAATTATTATGATTTTGTCAAGATTATTTATTAATTTTTTAAAAAGCTATAGCAATAATATAATTAATATAAATAATAATATTTATATTACAAACATATAAATAATAATATTATATAAATATTAAATAAATATTATTCAATATTAAATAAAAATTGCTACAATTAAATCGAAACAAGATGAGATTTTTGCTGCAAAGATTCACTCAAGACCAAACAAAATTTCGAAAAAGTTTTCGAAAATTTTCAGTTCAGCATTTTTATGAATATTGTTTTGTGCCTTGCGCAACCTTATTCTAGTCCCTCTACTATCGCGAAAGAGCCTGGGCAAAATTCTGCGGTTCTTAGCCACGCGGTGATCCTAAAATTCGTTGTCACCGGCGAGCAAAATCCTACTTGACGGCCGAGCTCTAAGGCGGTATATGGCCGAGCTTCCTGAAATTCGCTACGCCCTGGAAATTCGGAATTCACCGCGAGTAACCCGCGAAGTGCCGAGCTAGCCCTCTTTTTCCTCTAAGTACCTACACTTCACGTGTACCATCTGATCTCATCGTATCTTCTGCACTCTGCCTCTCATCCTTGCCCGATGCCTCTTTCACGACCGCCTCCTCGTGCTTTACCCGCCACTTTGCCCGCCACTAGAGCATAATCACTACGCTGCGAAGACTGCGACGGACGGGCAAGCACAAACGCATTCAGTAAACGCATCATCCTCTCTTTAAAAAGTACTTTTGGCGATACTGTCATGACGAAAATTATTTTTACACGCTAATGCGATCTAAAATTAAAAGCCAAAGTAGTGAAAATACTGCCATTTTGTATACCGGCTTCATTAAGCGCAACGTTTCTTAAATGTCTACAATACAACTTGTGTACGAAGCAATATATTTTGCACAATTATTAATTTAATAAGGAATATAATTTTAAATGATTTAAATATTTTGTATTTTAATTTTACACAAAAGGGAGCTGTTTTAGAAAGCAAATTTTAGAAACAAATTCAAATGGAAAGAGATGTAAGCGATCAGACAAGACACTTAATTTTTAAGAAATACACATGTTATGAAAAATATTGTAAAAAATATATAAATATTTTGGATTTTATAAGAAATATATAAATATTTTATAATTTAATATATTTATTTATATAATTTAATTAATTTAATTTTAATATAATTTATAATATTATAATTAATTGATTCGATTGTATAGCAAGTTGTATAGTAATAAGCAGCAATGCGGTATAAATGGCACTAGTTAATCTATCTTAGCCATAATCTGTTAAGGCTATCTTGTAGTTGCAATGTAAGCTGCTCGCATTGGATGTATAAATTTGTCTCGGACGTGCAAACTTGTTCAAATCTGAT